GAGCGAGAAAGTTACTTTGCATCAAGAAATAAAGCTATCGGTTCGACATAGCTCCAAGTTTGAACCCGAGTCTAAATGTGAATCTTGAGATGTTCAAGATATTGGCTCTAACTATAGGATCCCTAAGAGATGCTAATAGCGCACCAAATATAGGGAATCAAATAAGGAATTCAGATTCATCAAGTAGCAACCATAGTCTTCGAGTACTATTGATTTTTATATCAATTATTTAATAAAAAGGCAAGTTTAATTATTGTAATTACTGTATTTTATTGCTAATTAATCTTTTTTCCCTAAAATTGTAGGTTGCCTAGTGTTTTCAACTACTTGAAGTTGGAAATAAACTATTAAATTTGTCTAGTAGGAACTTTGAACTTTTTTTTAAAAAAAATATTGATATTTTTTTTAAAAAAAGTTCAAAGTTCCTACTAGACAAATTTAATAGTTTATTTCCAACTTCAAGTAGTTGAAAACACTAGGCAACCTACAATTTTAGGATATTTTTTTATGTTTTTTAATATTGTTCGGATATTTGGATTATTATTTTTCTTGTAATACGTTAATTAATTTTTAAAATTATGTTAACAAACTTCTTAGATTATTACTTTTCTCGTTATTGATTAATTAATATTTGGAATTATTTTTTTAAAATTATTATAAATACATCATAATCATTACATTTGATTAAAAATTTATTGCAATTGAAAAAAAAATCAATTGCAATCATATTATAAATTATTGCATTAAATATTATTCAAAACCGTTACATTACAATGATAAATCGTTACATTATGTATAAAAGGGATTAGTTTGTATACAACAAGCCGCTGCATTAAAACAACAAAACCGTTGCATAATATAACAGGAAAACCGTTGCCAATGAATACAAACCGCCGCATAATATGTCACGTAAATCATTTCATTAGATGATTTCAATCGCTGCATAAAATATGTCCATAACTCGTTGCATATATTATACGAATCGCTGCAAAAGTTTCAACTAAAACCGTTGCTTTTTAATTCTTTAAACCGCTATCTAAAATACCAAGGTAATCTGCTGCAATTGAAGGGTTTTATGCAACAAAACGTGTTCTGTTGCAAGTGTATATGAAAACTGCTACATTAACCTATTGCAGCGTTAGTAAGATGTAGTGGTTGGTAAATCGTTGCATTAGATGTACTTGCAGTAGTTTTGTTTTAGTTTGCAGCAGTTTTCAGCCGTTGCATAAGGCTTTGTATGTCTTAGTGTCAAAATGGTATCAACTTTACTACTTGTTATTCTTTTCTTTGACCTCTATCATTTTCCTTGGTGCCATGTTCATTTGATTTAATTACTAAAGTCAAATAAATGGACATCATTTTTGTGTATGATAAAAAAGATTTAGATTAAGGGAAAGAAAAGTGTTGATGTTGTTGATATCAACTAATATGTACTCGTTTTGTATTAACACGTAGTAAAAAATCTCAATCAAAATTATTGAGGAAAAAAAGGAAGAAAACCTATAAAAAAGAAAAGGAAAAAACAAATGAAAATAGTACAAAAGAATTAAAAAAAATACTATCAATATTGCATCACCTTAGCATCCAAACAGGTTCTCAAAAGTTTCTTGTTCTAGAAGACATTTTTCATCACTCATCTGGTTTTGTGACAAAGATCTCATAGATGATATCATTTACTTCATACAAGGTTTTACATTGTTTTAAACTTCTCTACGTTAATATATAATCTTCCAACTTTTCTATTATGTATTCAACTTCAAATAATTTATGAATATGGGTGTAATTAGTACAAAAAACTATTTTTATTTTTATTTTTTAAGTCTTTTTTTCTCAATAATTTTGAGCCAGATCTATTTTTTACTACATGTTAGTTGACTTAGGCTACATCAACATTTAGTAATCTTAACTGATGAAATGCATTTAAATTGAAAAAATGAAAAATAAAATCAAAATTTAATCACTCAAGTAGGTAAATAAAAGGTTAGGCATATATATAAATAAATAAATCAATCAAAAGTTTGGTATTGAAATTGTAGTTTTTCCAATAATAATATGTTAAGTTGTTGTCATTTTTATAATATACTATAATTATTCCGTTCATTTGGAAATCAATAATTTAGACTAAACAAACGAACATGATAAAACATGACACTCGTCTCCATTCATTTGAATTTAATAAATTAGATTAAACAAACATGACTAAACATGATACAGAACAACATGAGTGATTTCAATACATTGTGGGATTGATAGATTCACCAAAAATAAATAAATAAATAAATAAGATATATTATTTGAATAGTTAAATGGATAATTTTTTTTAAAAAAATAAAAAAATAAAATATAATTCTTCATCGTAAAAGTATATATGGAAGACATTTTCTCCTCTATTTATATATTATTTTTTATTTTTCATCAAATAAAATTTATTTTTACTCTCTCTCTTTCTTAATCTTTCTCCATGTACATACATACATACATATGTGATGTATGTATATACACATACTCTTTATGATTAATATAATTAATACATAAATTTATCATACACCCTATTAATTAGTTTTCTTATTATGGAAAAAGGTAATATTCAGCATTTTTAAAGGGGGCTATATTAAATGTGGCATAAACTTAAAACATAATCACAAAATTATAATAATCATTATTAACTATGAAAAAAATAAAAATTCAATTTTTTGAACCTTTTGTGGACAATAAGGTGGATCAACAAATTAATTAAAGTTTTAATCTTTTTCTAGAACATCTTGTAGAATGTAAGAGGTAAAAGTTTTAATTAATTTATTTAAGGTCAGTTCTTGAAAATTTTATAAATGATATAAAGTTATAATTAGAGACTAATTATTATTTTTTTATTTTTCATTATTTTTTTAAATTACCAAAAAAATGTTTGGACTTTTTTTTTTTTACTGGTAGGTGGATGCTAATGCCAGTTGTGAGCTACAAGCTCAATGGCTATTCTCGAATTGTCAAACACCTTGTTCTTTTCTATATAATTATTATAAATCATAAAATTAAAGTATATATTTATATTAGTAATTATCATTCACACAAGTAGAAAGAGTTTATTAATATTTAATTAAACACAGATAAATAAATTTTTTTGACGATATATATAATCAATTTGTTTTTTAAAAAATACTACTAGTATTTAACATATGGGCTCATGCATAAAAGACTACATACACTCTCTGTCTCAAGCATATTATCTTTCTTTTTATTTATATTTGTTTCAAAATATTTATGTGGTCAAAATTTTAAATAATGTTATTTACTAAAATACTCCTAATTATAAAAATAATTAATTCTTTTTTTTTTTTTTTGTCATTCAATAATTAAAAATAAATATTCTTTATACTTTTTCCTTGTATATACAAATATCTTTAACATAAAAAAAAAAAAATTGTTACATGAAAAATATTTATTTTGTAGGAATTTTATTACATGTCGAAATTTTGAAAGTAAATTATTTTCATTTGTAAATTATTTTTATACAATTATTTTAAATTTTATTGTTAATTAACTTAATTATTTTTTCTTTGATTTACCACTTTAATTTTGGATAGGTTTTCTCCTTAAATTATTATAGGTTCCATATAATGTAGGATTAAATTTGATAAGCAATAATTTTAATAAAAAAATATTGATAATTATAAGTTTTTTAAACTGTATGAAAAATCAAAGAAAACAATATATATATATATATATATATATATATATATATATATATATATATATATATATATATATATATATATATATTATTTGGAAACTTGTTACCACCGTCAACTAAATCCTTGTGATATGTGGAATACATTCTACGAAACACTAAAACATTTGGTTGTTTTTAAAATCAACTGATCAAAAGTTAAAAAAATGTGGTTGTACTGTGAATGAATATTGTTTGCTCTATAAGCTAATGAGAGGCCAAAATCATACACAGTTGATCAAGCAGAAGCACACATTGTGACTTAGAAAGTCAACACAAAACTTCTCAAGAAAAAAAAAACATATCAGCTATATATAAGAACTTCCAATTCTCTTCCCAGCAGGTCTTGGATGTCAAGAATAGAAATTCTTTCAAATAGCTCTAGTGAACTCATCGATCATTAAAGAATATGATTCTGACCCTCATTTCCAAAATTAAAGTGCTAGCTAGCCGTATCTCCTCAGTAACTCTACCTTGCATGTACATTCAGGATTTAACCTAACCAAGATGCGACCGCAAAATATACTTTCTGTATCTACCAAATTGCATCTAATGACACAAATTAGGGTGTGTTTCGTTGATGACTAATAAATTAATTAATGAAGGCAACCAGTAGCTACATGGTACGTCTCTGCCTAGTTCTCAGAAATTATATATATCTAACAGGTAACAGTTAGCTTTGACTCTGGTGCAACTATGACCGAGTCTGATGCAATATTGTTTTCCTTTCCTCCCTACTGGGAAATTGGCAAAATCTAAAGTTATCAAGCTATAAAAGTAGCACTGTTTGAATTGTATCACACAGAAAAAAGTGCTTTAAATCACTTTAATATAAGCACAATAGGCAATACCTGAAAACAGGAAAAACCATAGAGTACACAACATACCTAGACATGAGCCATAATATATACCACAGCAGAACAATGGACGATATGTAGCATGACAGAACAGAACAGCTTGACAGATACGAAATTCAGTGTCATGGACTTGCACGTTAAAAGAGCAAATTCCAATGTCAGATATACCAAAAAGAGCATGACAGGTACTTATTTTATTATAGTTAATAAGAAGCGAATAAAACAGCAGAAGGACGCTGCCAAGCAGTAAATATTATTATCAGCAAAGCAATCGGAATCGAGTTAGACAACCATCAATGACACGGCGATCAATATCATTCTAATCCAGGAAGCAGACTTCAAATTTGCAGGCTACCTTATATTAATTTACACAAGGTAGCAGCCCATGTAAGAACAAAACAGAAGGTCACACAAACGAATTACCCATTGCAATGAATAAGCCAAACTAGTCTTGCCAAAATAATACCGATACCACTCCAGCGTAGTAACCCCAAAACGCCATACAAGCATAATCCTTCAGGAATAGTTATTTTAATTGCATAGACGAATGATTTCAAGGCATACGAGAATAGCGATGGTGGTAGTGCCCCAAAAACAATCAGAGCGGAATACAATTCCATGTACATGCATGCTATGCAACTGACACTCTCTCCAACTTGCTTTGGCAGAATAAATTAGTTTTACTTCTATCATGGTACTAGGATTATGTTCCATACATGTATATTTGAGGAGTGCCTTGAAACTCCTTAGCAAGCATCAGCTGCAATGCGAACTAAAGTCATCATCACCCAAAAGGTCAGGGTCTTACACAATGTCCTGGAGTTTCAGAGCTAACAAATCTGCAATGGTGAACATTCAATTGTAATGGAGTAATTTGATGCTAAATCTGCAAAACTTTAGTGCTTCCAACTACTAATTGTAGAACATGTCATTTACCTTGCTTGCGGGAGAAATTATACACACAGAAGCAGAAAGATCGGATAGAAATTTAAAAATGCTGCATAGAATCCTAATAGTTACTTCTAGAATTAGATGCTATCACAAGTGCCTATATGGGAGTCGGGTTTTCACACAAATTAACACACACCAAAAGATAAAATGCACAGATAAATTTTGTACCAAAATAACTGCTTTCAGGGCAATCAGAATCAGAAATGTTATTAAATACTATCCGGCACTCACAAGAACTTGTCTCTGACAAATTAAAGACATCAACTGAATTCAGGGAATTCTAAATTATAAGTTCTGAAAGGAAAAACTACCACTATAAATTAATCAAAGGGATATTTCTTTAAGGTTGATATCCAGTTCTGAAAACTTCCATCCACCTCTGGCTTCAAAACTATAAAGAGATTGATGGAGGCCCTTGGCTCGAGTGGTAAGGCTGATGTTTCCCTTGCTCCTCTCTCCGAGCAGTTTTTATCACACTCGATCACAAATCTCCTCAACATGGGAGCCTTTCTTATGAGATGTTTAGCAAAAATAATCTCTCTCTCTTTCCCACAGAACCCTTTCATCCCCACTACTTTCAGGCTATGTGTGATGCTATCATACAACTCCCTTTTCTCCCAGAACATGAAAGTAGGATATGGTAATTCCCAGTCGGAAGGCCCCCAGCTCCTGGGCTAGTGAAAAAGAAACATAAAAGTAGAAGTAAGGACAAATGTGGGTGTGTGTATATATGGGTTTCCTGTAACAGAAAAAGAAAAAGAAAAAGGCATTAGAAAATCCAACTTACTGGAATACTGATATTGAGTATCTGCAAATGGGTGCATAGTCTGAAGATGTGATCTAAGATATGTTGTTCCATTTGACTGTCCAAGGCTAAACTGGTAGATAGCGTATGCAAATGCCCAAATGGATTGGAAGACTTCACAAAACCATTATTAGAGTTTTGCTGCTGCTTGAATTGAATTAAAAAAAAAAAAAGAAGCATTAGTCTGCTCATCATCCACAAATCATATATTTCAAACTTAAAGCTAAATTTAATTAATCAATGAAATTAAACCTAGAAAACTTACCAGGAGACCACAGCAACGCTCAAGAAAATCTATAATCCTTGAATAGATCTGTGTGCTTTTTTGGGCTAAACCACCATCAAAACTAAATCCAAACTCCAGAAGACTTGGAGAATTAATTTGCATATTTAATGAGCATAACACTGAATCAAGAACAAGAATGCTAAGGCACTTAGCATTGATATCAATTCCTTCCAATTCTAAGTCCTTAAGTTTCAAAGACTTGAGATTCTGATCACGAATCTCCATCCTTTTTATACCAGTACAAGAACAAATACTCAAATCCTCCAAAAACATACAATTAAAAACAACCCTAGTAAGAGTTTGATCATCTGTACTCACCGATTTGAGACTTAAGGTAACAAGGTTACGGCAGCCTTCAAAAGGAGAAGCATCTTTAAGCCAATATCCATTCAATTCAAGAACACGTAAGGTTCTACAGAAAAATATACCTGCAGGCAAATTGCACTGAAGTTTATCCGAAACAAAGAGTTCTTCGCACGTAAGGAAGAGTTCTTCTATGCGCTTTTTCTCTTCAAGGTTTTTTATCAACCTTGCAAGGAGACCAGATTTAAAATCATCTTGTATGTGAGAAATACTGCACGTTACAAGTTTTGTTTCATGAGAATCAATGACCCTTTCAACTAAACCTGTGGCTTGTGAAATCTCGTCATGTAGCCTCTTTCTGTAAAACCTTCTGAAAGGTTCATCCCTGTTATAAATATCTGTACAGGATTTTGTCAGAAATTTTTTATCAAAGTGAAGGCAAGATGATGATTTCCATATGTTTTTCCATTTTCTAGACAGGATGCTTGTTCTCACACTTTCTGCGACACTCAGATGCGAGATGATCAGAGATAAGAGTACCTCAGGAAGGTTGCTGATTAGGTCAGCATCAGCAATATCCATCTCCATGGATAACAAAGAAAAAACAAAAACCCTAGCTATAGGCTATAGGGATTCTCGAGACGGAGCGGACGTTTTGAGAATGAATTTACGAGGGCGATGAAGGGTTAGATAAATACAATGTGCAGTATAATTATTTCACTGAAATTCTACGATTCTTTGTCACTTCTGAGTTTTGTTAGTCCAGCCAGTATGATTTCGACACGTATGCACGAATTCTGTAATTCATAGCAGCGAAATTTCACAAACATATATAATAACAGCCAATAACTTTTTTTTTTTTTTTTTAAATTTTAAATTCTCTAAAAAAAATCAATGTTGTTGTTTCCTAAACTTTTCACTTTAATATAAAATTAAGTCCAGTTCAGTTCACCAAATCTTTTTGGTCCATGGTTTCTATTATTTTTAAAATAAGCCAAGATCCTTGTTTTGTATTAAAAAAAAAAAAAATTAGTCAACATATTTTCTGAATATTTTTGAAGAAATATTTTTTAGAATAAATAAGTGTTGATGTTCAAAATAAATATTTTTCAATTGATCTTTAGCAATTGAGTCAAATTGACCAATTTTTAGAGTTTAAAGACCAAATTTGTATATTCTTATAACATGGATGACCAAACTATATAAAAGACAAGACAAATTATAAAACAAACTAAAACAAAACACTCGGTTATTGTTCCATTGTTCTAAGCACTGTTCACACACTCACAGTTCACTGTTCACATACTCATAGATTACTGTTCCTTTTATTATTCATGGTTTTTTTTAACACTTTGGTCCTCAATTTTCTTATATATATATATATATATTTTTTTTTTTTAAATTTCAAATTTAATTGTATTGTTATTTGGTCTAATGTTGTTTTATTTTTTTAATTATTTTTATTATTTAAAATTTACGACTTTAATTTGTCATTTTTTAAAAAAAATTCTCATCTAATTAATTTAAAATTATATGGTCCTCAAATTTTTTATACATTTTTTTAAATTTCAAACTTTAATTGTATTGTGATTTGGTCTCATTTTATTTTAGTTTTTTTTTGTTGATTATCTACAATTGTAATTTGTCAATTTTTTTCAAATTCTCATCCAATTAATTTAAAATTACATTTAATGACAATTTTAATTTATTTTAATATTATTCATTATTTTTTAAATAAATATATAAAAATTAAATTCATATTTTTTTTCAAAAATTGATATTCTCATTAACATTAAATAAAAATAAAAAAATTATTCGTTCAATTCTATATGAGCTTTTAATAATGTTTTTCGACACAATCTTATGAAATAATAAAGCTTTATAAAAAAAATATTTAATTTTCTTTAATTTGTCTTCTTTTTTTTTTTTAAAAAAAAATTTCTCATCCAATTAATTTAAAATTATATGGTCCTCAATTTTTCTATACATTTTTTTTCGATTTCAAACTTTAATTGTATTCCGATTTAGTCCCATTTTGTTTTAGTGTTTTTTGTTAATTATTTTTATTATTTAAAATTTACTACTTTAATTTTTCATTTCTTTTAAATTCTTGTCCAATTATTTTAAAACTATATTTATCGATGAGTTTTAATTTATTTTAATATTATTCATTCTTTTGTACATAAATATATAAAAATTAAATTTATATGTTTTTCAAAAATTGATATTTTCATCAAGATGAAATAAAAAAAATATTTGTTCAATCTTATGTAAGTTTTTAGTAACTCGTTATTTTTGTTTTTTGACACAATCTTATGCTTTTTTTAAAAAAAATTATTTAATTTTCTTTTTAGTTAATAATCCATAGATTAACAAGCATAAATCCTTTTTGTAAAGAAAAAATTATGAAAAATACAAATAAGAAATAGTTAAGTACAAATTTTTTTATTAAAAAATTATAAATATTGTTTTTCACCTTTGATTTTATATATTTTTATAGGTTCACATTATAAAACGGACTATCAAAATAAAATAATTTTTTAAAATAATTTAATATATTTTATCCAACTCGCAACGTAGTATAGGCAAAAAGTATAGTTATATTTCAATTTGAAGATGAAGGTGAGTTAGGCGGTGACTATTTCGAAATTTGTGCGGTTGCAATTCTTCAATTTAATTTTTCTTTTATTGTCTGTCTTTTATCGCTTAGGAAAAGTTTTTCCTATCTTTCTATATAGTTTAGATTTTTTTCCAAATTTCTTTGGCCATTAGGTTTACTTTTTTCTTTAAAAAGCACTCTCGTGTCATGTTTTGACCTGTTTCAATACGTATATTTTACTGTATATATTTGTCTTTCAAGCTCTTACATTTATGTTTTGTAATTATACTTTATTTCTAATTTCATGCTTTATCATTATTTATAACTTTATTTACAGCTAGCACTATCAATATATAGGTCGGATTTGGATTGGATCGTATTATAGTATATTTGGATCTAATTTGTTTAATAAAATGGATCGAATCGAATCAAATCTTATAAATTTCAATCGTGTTTTGAAAACGTAAATCCAGATCTTAATAGATACGGCTCAACATCGAAGTTTTATCAAATTTATCACTTGATTTTTTTAGAAAATTTATATTTATTATATCGATTGAATATAAAATAAATTTCAACCACTACATATATAATAAAATATATTAAGATAATATATCATCTATCAATTTTGTAAAAAATTCAAAATAACACACAATTCAAAAGTACAAAATCAAATCATTCCAATAAAAAATTGTGTTTAACTATGTAGAAAATATGATAAAACTAAAAAAAAAATAGTAAATAATTTTTATTTATTGTTCATGTGATAGCAAAATGAATATTTATTAATTTGGATTTCAAGATCATAGAACTACAAATCAAAACGTGCAAAGAAAGAAAAAAATCTATTAACATTATCATATATTTTTAACAAGTTATTTTACAAAAATTTGTCGAGTACATATCACTTTAATAATATTGGTAATATCACTTAACTAAATAAGTATTAATATTAAATTTTCTTAACCTTTTTTTGAATCCAATTTTTTGTCAATTTTGTAATAATACAAGCTTTTTAGTATCACAAATTCTAACCTCCAACTAAATATTTCCACACCCTCTCTCAATAAGTGAAATAAAAAAATGAAATAATTTAAAGATTTAAGTGTTATAAAGAGTTCGTACAAAACACTATGTATTCTACATGCTCTATCTTAATTAATTTGGGCTATACTTTTATGTCCAAAATTAAAATACTAAAATGAATTTCAATTCATATAAGGTTGGTTTCACATGTTATGACTCCTACCATCATGTTTGAAACAAATGGAACAATTGCTCAACTTCATAACAACATCTATTATAGGAAAACTATAAGTGTGTTAAAGGGAAAAAAGCAAACAATAATTTTAATAAATTAATGAGTTTAAGTAAATAAAATACCATAGAATTTCCAATTTCAATTTGAAAGTCAATCAATTGTAGTATTTATTCTTCACAATTTATGGAACTAAAGATGCACAATAATCATCAAGTTTGAAACAAATGAAAGAATTACTCAACTCCATAGCAGCTCCTATTATAGAAAAAAATATAAGCACATTAAAAAAAAGGCAAACAATAATTTTAATAGTTGATTAATGCATAAAGAGTATAAATATAATGAGTTTAAGTAAATAAAATAGCATAAATTTTTCTTTTTTGATTTAGAAGTCAATCGCTTTTAGTAGTGCCTCCATAATCTCTAGAAGTAAACATGCATGATAATAAAAAATAAATCTATCTTTCATACTAAATACAACTTCGAAGCAACAGTGGTTACTAGAACATCTAGAACAATTTTAGTAACGATAGAGAATGTATGATAATTGGTTTTCCACCATTGCAAAATATCAAATTTGTTTGTTTTACGAAATACTAACTTCTTCAAGTACTATTTTAGTTCGATTTCTTTTGAGCATAAAGATTAGAAAATGACTACAAACTTATGTGTGGTATTTAAAAATACAATGACAATTGTGGAAGAATTTTTATTATTTAAACTTTAGAATAACTAAACTCTAAATTTCAACCTAGTCTCATATTTATATATCTTTTTATATTTAAATTTTTAATATTTTTCAAATATTATATTTATTAAAAGAATATTATTTGTTAATTTTGGATTGAATTATTATCTAAATGGATCAAGATAAATCCAAATTTGATCCATTTAATAAATGGATTAACGGATTTGGATCATAATTAGACTCAAATAAAAAAAAAATATTTATCGAGTCCATTTAATTACATCGATTCAAGTTAAGATTAGATCTATTTATAGTCCCGTTTATAGCTTACTTTACGTCTTTCCTTACAACTTTTTATACTATTCATAATGTAGATCTTAGTTTATTAGGTTTTCTCTATCAAAAAATCTTTGTAATTTATTAGGTTTTTCTATCTTAAAACTTTAACTTTTTTTGCTCAATTTAAACCTTTTGATTTTTTAGACTTTTCTTAGAACCCTAAAATCTTATTTGATCTTTTGATAAAATTCTTACTTTGATCTGTATATATGAAAAACCCGCATCTATTTAAGCATGAGATAGTTTCCACCTAATTATAAGAAAATCAAAAAATAGTGATAGAAATCAGCTATGGATTAGAGTTTGTTACTAAATAGCGATGGATCGGCGAATGAACTGCAATTGTTGTCAAGGTGTAGAACTCTACTATGGAACACTAACGAACTAACGAAGAATTTTCAACAAGATACATATATTTGTCGCTATATTTTGGCAGCAAAATATTCACGGGTATTTCAAAGATGGTTTAGTGAGGGAATTACGAAAGAAATCAACAACACACTCTTTATTCTATTGCTATTTTTGGATTCAAGATTAGCTACGAATTTTTCATTGCTAATTGCATATTTTCCTCACAAAATAACGATGGAAAATCCATCACTAATATTAAAAAAAAACAAAGAGTAGACTTTGGAAATTCAAAATCCACCATATCGACAATGGATTAGCGAGAGACACTTAAGTCCGTTGCTAAT